AAGGCAGTCAGCAAACACAGACACACACACACACACACAAAGTAAGTAAGTGAGTGAGTGAGTGCGTGCGTGCGTGCGTGCGTGCGTGCGTGCGTGCGTGCGTGCGTGCGTGCGTGCGTGCGTGAGTGAGTGAGTGAGTGAGTGAGTGAGTGAGTGAGTGAGTGAGCGAGCGAGTGAGTGAGTGAGTGAGTGAGTGAATGAGTGAGAGAGTCAGTGAGTGGCGAGAGACCGCAAGCAAGCAGCATCGTAAGTAGCAAGAAACCATACTCCTCGAAGCAACGATATAGACCCCAAATGCTTAAACAAATCCTATACAACCCCTGTTGGAAAACTCTCTCGACAGACGAAACGAGTAAACCTGACAACGTACCCCTGCCCCTGCAAAGCCGCTCGTCATGCGAACAACCCCTTGATCCTAGAGTCCCACTGCCTCCAAGTGCACGAATCGTACCTCCGCTGGCTTAAACCCTAAACATCCCTGAATCCTACATCATAAACATCCCTAAAACCGCATTCGGAGTTCCAAGCAATTAACCGCTTGAAACCGTGAACTCACAACCCCAAACCCTCAAACCTTGGACTCTGAAACCGTAAACTCAAAACCCCAAACCCTCAAACCCTGGACCCTAATGCCCTCAACCTTTAAACCGTGAACTCAAAACCCCAAACCCTCAACTCTTAGACCCTAATACCCTATAGTTATAAACCTTCAAACCGTGAACTCAAAACCCCAAACCTTCAAATCAAACCTTGGACCCTCATACCCTACACCCTGAAACCGCGAACCATAAACAACCGGAGCTTCAAATCAAACCTTGGACCCTAAATCCCTAAACCCTCAACCCTAAACCCTCAACCCTAATCCCTAATCCCTAAACCCTAAACCCCAGAGCTTGAAACCGCGAACTGAAACCGGAGCTTCCCGACCTGACCAGTTCCAGCCATGAGCCCTAGAAGACCGTCTCCTGCTTGGGGGAGGGTCTGGGTTTAGGGTTCAAGGTTTAGGGTTTGGGGTTTCTTTAAAGTGCATTCTAGGGTTTCGGGTTGAGGGATTTTTTAAAGTGCAGTTTAGGGTTTAGGGTTGAGGGTTTACACCCTAGGGTTGAGGGTTTATGGTTTAGGGTTCAGGGTTGAGGGTCTAGGGTTGAGGGTTTAGGGTTGAGGGTTTAGAGTTGACGGTTTAGGGTTGAGGGTTTGGGGTTTAGGGAGGATGTGGGAGTTTCCGAAGATAAGGGGGTACCTTATTCTGGGGTCCTTGTAATAGTGATCCTACTATTTAGGGTACTATATTAAGGTCCCCCCATTTTCGGAAACCCCCATGTGGATTTAGGGCTTAGGGTTTACAGCGATTCGATTTTACGGGTCAGGGCATAAGGGGTTTAGGCTGTAGGACTTTCGGGTGTAGGATTTAAGACTTTGCAGCTAGGATTTAGGGTCTTGGATTGAAGGCTTTAGGCATCCACGGTTTAATGGTTTGGTATAGGGCTCTGTGATATAAGGGCCCTGATTACTACTCTTAATGGAGATTTGGTGGTACTTTAGTTAGAATAGAGTCATGCAGCGACCGTCAGGAAACAATGTATCATGAATTCTTCCGACCCCCGTGCGGCTGGAACCTTCCATAGAGATCTTGACCCTAAACCCTAGAACCCTAAACCCTATCATCCTAAACCGCACCGCCCTGAATCCCCTGCAGCTACGGTTGAGGGCTTAGGGTTAAGGTTTTAGGGTTTAGGGTTTAGGGCCAGAGTGCTCCAGACGTCGGTGGCGTGGAGAAGTTCTGCGCTAGTAGCATCTGCACGCCGGACACCTGCAAAGGAATGTTTAATTTCCTCCGAAAAAACAGCACGCACGAACGACCTCACAAATAGTTCATTCCCAACTGACGTGTTGCATCAAGATTCAAGGCCTGGCAGAGATGGAATTCAACCCTAAACTCCTAAACACTACAAATTATACACCCGAACCATCAACCCCAAATCCTAATTGCCGAACCCTAAACCCTAATTCCCAAACCTAAATGCGTAAACCCTAGATAACGCCTTTGCCCTAAATCCTCAAGCCTGATTTCAAACTTAAAAGGAGGGTGTTTTAGGCTCTAGAGCTTCATTGTTGTGAGACATGGAAAGCGTTCTCGGCAGGGGTTTCGGGTTTAGGGTTTTAGGGCTTAGGGTTTAGGGTAATCCCACGTCGTGTCTTTTCAGGAATATTCATCACTCTTTTCACGAATATTCATCACTCTGCTTATGGCCTACTTAGACGTACTTACTAAGTTCGCCGACCCTGCAACTAAGAGGGCTCCAGTTGCTAACTGAACATCTTATTGTAGGGGCCTGAATAATTACTAATACTATTTTGAGGGCTCGAATCGCCCCGTAGTGAGGGAACATCGTAGCCCCAGTGCCCATGCGATGGCCCAAATGGGAAATGCGGGCACGCCACGTCGATAAGAAGTTCCGCCAGAGCGACGAATTCAGCCAGAACCTCAAAGAGAAGCAGGTCCAGTCCTTTGCCAAGATCCTCAAGAAGTTCTTCGAGAACGAGAAGGATGACTGCGAGAAGGATACCGACCAGAGGACTCCCGACTGCGACATGCTGAAAAACAACTCTATGGTCTCTTACGACTACAGCCTGCAGCGATGCGTCTTGGAGACTGACCGCGATGCCGACGGCAGCTGGATGTCCACGATGAGCTCTATGCAGTGGGGGATCGAGGATGCCGCTGCGAGCCACTCCCAGGCTGAGACCACGAGGTTGCCGGAGGCGCTCCTGAAGACCGAGGTCATCAAGTCCTACGACGAGGCCCGCGAGGCCAACGAGCTGAAGGCCCAGGACGTGAAGCTCTGCTTCCGCTTGCAGAAAGATGAAGCGGGCAGGACGATGGCGGACATCGTCAAGGAGTTTTTCAAGCCGAAGCCGAAGTACTCGGACACCCTCTGGGCGGAGAGATGCTGGTGGAACCGGCTCAGATGCCCGCCAACACCGCGGGCGAGTTTAAGCACCCACTGGGGTACCACTGAGAGGATCTACAAGACTCCTTCCACCAAAAGCACCACGTGAGTGTCCAAGACACCCGAGAAAGACTTAGCCGAGTTGGGGAATACTGCTGTGCAGATTTCCCCATTGTAACACATGCTTCCGTAGTGCTGCGGAACGATATTACTGCAGTGCTTGGATCCATCATTGTCGCCTGTAAATTATTCGTCGTTGTTTTGGACAGTCTTTTCTTTGTAGTTGTGTACTTTTCCGCTGAGCCCAGTCGAGCGTATACGCCGTGGCCCGTGTGCAGGAAGACCTTTGCTGCAAAGCAGGCTGGATGGTCAAGCGTTGCCCTCTTGAGTGCATACCATCGGATTTCTGCTCCATGGGGAGAAATGTTGCTTACTTGCCATTCACGGCATCTCATGCATGTCTTTTCCGGTTGCTCTACAGCGAGCTCACGAGCAGCAAGCGCTGCAAGTACCACAGCGCGTTCTAGTGGAAGTGTTTTTTGGGATGGAGGGTGCGAGCTGACGGTTTTTGTTCTTGCCTCGTGCTTGGCCGGTTAAATCAGCTCCGCCTTGTCCTCTCGAATCGCAGATTACTGCTCCAGGGCGGCATAAGCCGTCTCTGAGTGCATACTGTGTCTGTGTAGAATTTACTGCATGAAGTTTTGAGACGCGCCTTACCGAAGGCACGACGGTCCGCATCCAATCCAATCCAATACTATTTTGGGGTTCCTTATTATAAGTATATACAAAATTATCAAATCAAGGCCCCTATACTATGTATGGGTTAGCAATATGGTGATATGACTGTCCCCCTGCGCTTGTGGATTCGGGCGTACGGGGGTTGAAAGTCAGAGTTTTGGCCAGTAAGGTTTTAGGTTTAGGGTGTTAAGCTTTGGAGTTTTTACCATGCATGTGCAACCTAGCAAAGCACACAGTTCGTAACGCCATGGCCTATTTCTTAGGAAACTAGAGCCCTGGAATATGGCCTCAAGTACCCTACTATGTGCTGTGGAGGAACAGAGACCCAAAGTTTAGGCAACATGCGGAATGTTGGGCTTGAAAACACACACGTTTAAGATATGTCAAATCATTATGAGATGTAGAGATGTTAGGAAAAGAACGTTGCAAGTCATATAGCCCTACACCCTGAGAAAACACTAAACATATTGTCGGACTTGCATGGCTCAGGATCGGAAAAGAAATTCATGCATCGCGTAACTCCAAGCACCAAAACCCTCCAACCCTCCACCACCAACGGCACACCTTACTCAGAGAGCCCAATATCCCCCACAATGCGGGAAAATACCTTAAAACCCTAGGTGGCTTAACATGGCTTAACATTATGATCTATGGTTTGTTGCTTTCTCAAGGGGCAGTGGGTTCTCGGGGTACGCCCTGAACTCTAGGTCTCTTCAACCCAAAGCTTCAGTGCCTGAAACTCTACAAGGCCCTTCTAGATTGCCTACAGATCCTTTGTAGAACATTTATCGAAAATTTGGGAACCCCTATGGAATCCCTATAACTTGTACAAGCCTTGCAGAACACTTGTAGAGCTCGTATAGAACGCTTTTGAAGAACCCCTATAGACATCTTGCAGAACCCTTGTAGAACCCCGCCAAACCGCACCCCAACGATCTTTTGTCGCCAAGCGTCTCATGCGGCTAGGCTCGGAGGGCGAGTGCTGGGTTTTGCGCTTGCAGCTCCAGGGCTGTCGTGTTTAAGCTACGGGTACATCTGGTTTGGGGCTAAAGGGTTTGAGGGTTTAGGTTAAGGGTTTGGGGTATATATATAAAGGTTGGAACGGTTCAGACTTTGAGCCTTCAAGGCATTAGCTTCGTTGCGCTGTATGGGGGCCTTTAATAGTTGGAACAGGGTTTTGGGTATATTATACAGGAATGCAATTGCCCTCAGGTCTTGGCCGCCGATCCCGAGAGAGTCCAACACCTCGGGTTCCAAGGTTACTGACCCCTTTCGCCGAAAGGATTTGTTTACATTCTAGGCCGTTCTTCGTTTCAGTATGTTGGGTGTGTTCAAGAGGTTGCTTGAGAGTGTGTGTGATTGTTGTGTGTGTGTTTGTGAGTGCATGTGTTTGTGTTTCTATGTGCTTGCGTTTGTGCCTGTCTGTGTGTGTGTGTGTTTGCGTCATATGGTGTGTGCGTGTTTGATTTGTTTGGGGGTTTAAGGCTGGCTTAATGATTGGCTTAATGTTTGTTGGGTGTCGTAGGGATTTTGTTGGGACCGATACGACCTTGCAGGCACTGGGCACTAAAGGGGCAAGGTTGCAGGGACTGGGCATTAAGGGGCAAGGTCGGCGTATAGGGCTTGTAAACTCGAGAAATCCGCAGCACACAAATCTTCTAAGATCCCTTATCTATAAATTTAGTGTTAAAGACCTTAATCAGCGGGTTTAGGGTTCAGGTCTAGAATAAGTCGTAAATTCTAGCAAGATGAAAAATGTGTAGGACAAGGCTGTCAACCAGTGTAGCAATAGTGAGTCCCTCAGTGCAACTCTACAACCCCGGTTTAAACCCTACGACCTAAATCGCAAGCCTGAGAATGGTGTTGACCGGACGATCGGACCGTCGCCCGGTCACCCGGTCACAGCGGTCGTCCGACCGAAAATGGTTTAAACGGGCGACCGGACTGACCTGACCGGCGACCGGTTGAAAACATTGAAGTTGGTGAAGACGCGCAGACCTTCGTGTCCGGGATGACCAAGCCTCCCTGCTTGGACAGGAGCTTGATCAGGTCTGGTTTCGACAGGCCAGCAGTGGTCAACTTGTGATCCACCGCGAGGCGCCTAAGCCTGTCGAGGCTTTGGGCGACACACCATTCAGCCTTGCAGGCTCAGAGGCAGTTTCGCACCGTCATTTTACCATGCAGGTTCCCGGAGTCTTTCGTTGCGCACGGGAAGGAAAGCAAGGCACAACAGATCATGTCGGACCCGAAGACAGTTTCAGCATCCCGCCGGTAGGGAGCACAGAATCAGGAGCCGACGCGTAAACGGGGTTGGGTGCAGCCAGTCAGGCAGTGACCTCTCAAGGGTTTAAAAGTATTTCCAAACCGGCATCAGTGTTTGCGCAAAGCTTGGTGCGCACCTTTGCATTCGCGTCCGGGATGATGTGCACCTGCTGCAGCAGTGGTCCACCAACCGACGACGGTGAGATTCCATGAGACACTGCAATACGACACTTATCTGCAAACCCAAGAATCGCTTCCCCCTCCCATGTAACACCCCCTAATAAAACAAAAACACATTGGGGTGAATCCTCCCGAAATCATCCCCCCTTTAAAACCAATTTTGAATGCCGGGGGGGGGAAGGGTTTCGAGGCTCCAAATACCATTAGAGCACAGCAAAAGCAAAAGCAAGAGCCGGAGTCAGTATTAGAGGAAGAGCAGGAGCAAGAGCAAACGCGGGAGCATCAGCAAGAGCAGCAGCAAGAGCAAAGCAAAAGCGAGATCGGGAGTAAGAGCAAGAGCAAAGGCGGGAGCAACAGCAAGAGAGGAGCAGGCGCAAGAGACGCAGAAGAAGCAGGAGCAAAAGCCAGCACGGGAGCAAGAGCCAGAACGCGACCCCTCAAAAGTGGCAGCAGAGAT